GCCCGGCGCCCGAGCAGCCCACGGGCTGGGTCCCCGCGGCCCGAGCCGCCCCGGCCGAGATGACTTCCAAGGAGGACGGCAAGGCGGCGCCGGGGGAGGAGCGGCGGCGCAGCCCTCTGGACCACCTGCCGCCGCCCGCCAACTCCAACAAGCCGCTGACGCCGTTCAGCATCGAGGACATCCTCAACAAGCCGTCTGTGCGGCGAAGTTACTCGCTGTGCGGGGCGGCGCACCTGCTGGCCGCCGCGGACAAGCACGCGCCGGGCGGCTTGCCCCTGGCGGGCCGCGCGCTGCTCTCGCAGACCTCGCCGCTGTGCGCACTAGAAGAGCTAGCCAGCAAGACCTTTAAGGGACTGGAGGTCAGCGTCCTGCAGGCAGCCGAAGGTAGGCGCAGCCACCGGGTGCCTCTGCGCCCCGCCCTGCTTGTCTCATCCCACGCCGCCGCCAGGGCCCTCCAGCCGGAGCCGCTGCGGCTGGGAGTGGGGATGGGTGGGACAGGACCCAGACCTTATTTCCTAGGGACCTCTGGATAGGCCAGAGTCGGGCTGACCCGGGGAGGGGTGTGGGAACCCAACCTCTCCTGCAGTCCGCGGGCTCTGCCAAGCACCCCCGGATTCCCAGTGGCTTGGGCGCTCCCAGCACTGCTCGCGGGTAGGGAATCCAGAAGCTTTCGCTGGCATTTCCTGGGTAAGGTAGAGTCAGGGTGGTTGGAAAGGGGTAAAGAGCCTGCATTGACACCTCAGTCGCCGTTCGTGTCTGGCCCTCTCCCATTCTCAGCAGCTCGGGTCTTTCAAACCAATTTTTAGGTAGGAGCCAGACACCAACACAATTTTTCCTAAGGACTTCCGGTAAATCAGAAACCGGGTAGAGGGGTTGCCTTGACGAGGCTTGCCCTGGCCCAGAAGTCTGATCAGAGCGGGAAAGGAAGAACTGCTCGCTACAGGCCGTATGGGCCTGCGTGGGTTAAAGTGGTGGGAGCGATGATGGGTCAAGAACCGGAGTGGGGTCTCCTCTTCCCTGGCGAAAGTCCATACTGTGGTTTCCTCACAGGTCGCGATGGGATGACCATCTTTGGGCAGCGACAGACCCCCAAGAAGCGACGGAAGTCGCGCACGGCCTTCACCAACCACCAGATCTACGAGTTGGAAAAGCGCTTCCTCTACCAGAAGTACCTGTCCCCCGCCGACCGAGACCAAATCGCACAGCAGTTGGGCCTCACCAACGCGCAGGTCATCACCTGGTTCCAGAATCGGCGTGCCAAGCTCAAGCGGGACCTGGAGGAGATGAAGGCCGACGTGGAGTCCGCCAAGAAACTGGGCCCCAGCGGACAGATGGACATCGTGGCGCTGGCGGAACTCGAGCAGAACTCGGAGGCCGCGGGCGGCGGCGGCGGAGGCTGTGGCAGGGCCAAGTCAAGGCCCGGCTCTCCCGCGCTCCCCACAGGCGTCCCGCAGGCCCCGGGCGCCGGCCCCATGCAGCTCTCTCCCGCCTCCCCACTCACGGACCAGCCGGCCAGCAGCCAGGACTGCTCGGAAGACGAGGAAGACGAAGAGATCGACGTGGACGACTGAGCAGCGCCCAGGATCTTGCGCCGCCCCGGGCCCCTAGCGCCCGCGCGCCTGCCGCCTCCCGGTCCGGCCCGCCGAGGGGAGCTGGGACCCCCTCTGCAACTCCCGCCTCCTCCCTCGTCCCCGGCCCGGACTGGCTCCCGGCAGTCGTCTCTTCCCTCTCGAAGCAATAAACCTCGGGCTGGCCGGCCGGGCCGGCCGCCTGCGCGCGGCCTCAGGCGCCCCGGGAGCCCTCGCCGTGCAATTCTGTATGGCTTCTGTATAGATATTTAAGCCTAGAGGCCGGGTTGCTCCCACCGCAGCCCGATTTCTTTCTTTTATTTTTTAAAATCTCGGAGATTTCGATGTTTTCAGAGCTCTCGGGCTGCCAGGTTTGCTGGGGGCGAGGCAGAAATGAGGGCGGCGGGCCGGAGGAGGGGCGGCCTGGCTGTTTTGATTTTTCTCTGCATGTGGCGAATGCACCCGCCGGCTCCCTCCTCGCTTCCCTCGGCCTAGTGCAGTTGACTTCTTTTCTTTCCTTCTGCCTTTTTTCCCTGCGTGGGAAGAGGGTGAGAGGGGCAGCCGGTCCTGACTTGCAAGTTTAAAATCAATTTTTTTCCTCCCTCCTCCCCACGAAGGAAGTCTGTTTTCCATGCCACTCTGCCTCCCGTACTCACTAACGCTATTTTTAAGGTCCCTCTCCTCCTTGCGGTTTCCTGGGACTGACTGCTGGGGTCTGGCTCTTGGGGACAAAGCAAGGGGGGGGGGAATCCAACCAACGAACCAACCAACGAAAACGAACCCAAAGCCCTAGAATTATTTTTTACTCTTTTTAGAATTTTTTTGCATGTGACAGAGACAGAGAGGAGGCCGATCCAAGCCCTCACCTCACCTCCTCCTTAGCTCTGGGTCTGTCTTGCGGTCTCCAACACCCTGCTCCTAGCTTGACTGGGCCGAGGAGGGTGGCCCGATGAGGGTGGGTCCTGCGTGCCCCTTCCCTGCTCCCACCCTGCCCTCTTGTCCCTGGACTGTACCCAAGGCCTCTTTCTCGGATAAATAAAGTCTTTGCCATTTTATTAGAAGCCGCGGTGACCGTGTCTGAGTGCTGGGCCCGATTCTGGGAAAGCACAAGCCGCTGGACTTCCCGTAGCTTCTTGTGAGGCATGTGGTGGGGAGTCTTAGGGCAGGCGTGAGAGTGAGGGGAGATGGGGAAGCAGGGCAGGAGGCTCTTCTTGCGCACAAACATGCCGAAGCTACTAAATGGGGGAAGAAGCGGGCTTCGCCAGGTCCGGGTAAAAAATGAGGCTGGTGGCACTTGGGAGAACGGTGTGTACGTTCAACCTGTATTGGTGCAAAATTCGTTTGTATGGGGCCAGGGATGGTAAGGGACTTGCTATGTGGTTCCTACCTCCCACCTCGGACACAACAACCTTCTCGCTGCGCTGGCCAGCTCCCTGGGACGTGGGGTGAACTTGCCCTGCACAGCAGGCCAAGGTTGCTCATCCCACAGCAGGGTGTATGCTGGGGACTCCCGAGTTTGGGTTCCCGCCAAGGGGCTCACCCTGCGGAGGACTGAGGCCGGACTGAGGCCCAAAGCACGAAGGACAGGCCGAATTATTTCGCCCGAGAGCACCAGGATATGCGAGCCGGAAGCACCTGAGAGTTGGGGTGACTTTCTGGTTACATTAATAAATTCTGGGCCCTCCGCTCGGCTGGGGGGGGGGCAGAGACATCGATCTCTCGATCTCCTAGGGATTATCTAGGGTCCGCGGCGCCCCTGGGGGAGTCTAGGACCAGGGCGCCAGCCGCTTTCACTTTCCGGAACAGAGCGGGAGGTTTCTCTCTGGGCTTTTGTTGTCTCTGGGCTGGCGAGTGGCCGCTGTCACCAGAGTGGGTTTCCGCCTCCAGGCCCTCGGCTCTGTTTCTCTGCAAAATTGATGTGAGAAACGCGCATCTGGTCTCGGGCAGGCGAAGGGACCCCCGGGCCTGAGTCAAGAACGTGCGTGTCCAGGAGGAAACCGAGAGGCAGGGAGGGAGTAACAGGAAACGAGCGGACACCGCCCGACACGCTGTCAGCAGAGAGGGAAGGTGAAGAGACAAGGAGAGGCTGAGGAGGGAGAAAGGGAAAAAGCTACGCCGAAAGGGTCAGAGACAGAGGGAGAGAAAGCGAATGGGAAGAGGGGAGCGAAGAGAGGAGAGAAGGGAAGGAGGCAGACGACTAGCCCTAGCCGGGCCGGCGTGTGGCCGGTTCCTCCCGGGCGACATAAATCGCCCGCTCTCAGGATGGATGGGTCTGTAATTCGGAGCGCGGACCATGAAGGCCGGGACGAATGGGCCCGGGCGGCCGCTGACAGGCGACAATAGCCGGGCCCAGCCCCCCGCGGCTCCGAGTGCGGGCGCGGCCGTGGCCCTCCGCAGACCAGAGCGCGCCGGCGCTGGCGACCATATGGTTTTTGAATTTTCTTCACAATTTGTAGACAATTTGATGGATTAGGTCCCCGCGCGCGCCTCCCCGGCACAAAGGCGGCGCAGGGACCGCGGCGCGGCGGTCACCCGGGCATCTGCGCCCGCCGTGCGCACCCCCCCCGCCGGGCCCCCGCCCCGCGCCCTGCGCCCCGGGCCGCCCGCCCAACACGCCCATGAATCCCAATGAAGCGACCCTGGCACCTACGGCCGCTCCCTGCTTTCCCGCCCGAGGCTGGGCCCTGTCGGGTCCCTTCTGGCCGGGGGCGGCGGCCCAGGGGCTGAGCCCACCCGAGCTGCGGCGCCCGCGGGGCGCGCAGCTAAGCAGGCGCATCGGGGCTGGGGAGAAACGGGGCCATTTATCCGCCCGTCTAGTTAAAGCGGGTTATTTGTTTGCTTCTCCGGCCTCCCCCTCCCCTCCCCCTCCCCTCCTCCCCCTCCCTTCCGCTTCTGCCTTTTATTCTTTTGTCTCTAAATGGATTTAATGAGCCTGAAAAACATGACAATTGAATATAACCAAGAAATAAAAAATAACGAGGGAGGAAGGAAGGAGGAAAAGAAAGAAGGAAGGAGAAGGATTAATAAAAGGAAAGAAAAATCTATTCAAGTCCATAAATGTTTATTGTGCGTCTTTTCTGCATCAGGTCGCGCTCGGGGCTGGGGAAATGGAAAAGAATCAGACACGGTTCCTGCCCTCAAGGAGCTCCAAGTCTAGTGGGCGAACCCCGCCGCACCCACGGCGCGGATAGGATGCCCGGGGCCGAGGGCCAGGGAAGAGCCAAGGGCAGAACTCGGAGTCTTGGCTCCGGGGCGGTGGGGGCTTCAAGGAAGAGGTGGCATTGGATCTAAGGCTTGAAAGACCAGAAGGAATTCGTTGTTTCAATAGGCCCGGAGAAAAGGGCGGCGGGAAGGAAAAACTGGTCAATGGTTTGAGAGAAGAGGGAGCGAAGCGTCCGCCCAAGCCCTGGGCTGGCCTGAGCCGGAGAACGCAGCGAGAGCGCGCCGCGCGCTGGGTCGCGTACACTTTGGTGAGCGGAGTCGAGCCGCTCGGCAGTGGCCTCTGCGCTGCTGGATTCCATGCCTCGGTCTGACTGCAGATAGGCTTCCAGAGGCCCGCCGACAGCGCTCGTGGCAGGCCGAGCACCGTGGCTTGGGGCTCCATTCCCCAGCCCCACCACCAAGGGAGGCGGTGGCAGGCCAGTGGCCGGGCTGGGGCTGAGGGGCTGAACCAGAGGCGAGAGGCAGGGACTGGGATCAAAGGGGCCTGGGCTCTAGCCCACCTTCGGGTCAGTTCTCCTCTTTAGATAAGGGCCACCTCCCCCTTGTCTGCTGGGGCTCCGGGATGGCCATGGCCGCGCCTCGAGGCTGTCACTCCGCCTTGGGCGCTGCGGCGAGGACCTGTGGTCGGAGAGGACCTCGAACCCAGAGCGCAGGCCCTGGGTGTGTGTGCTGGCGCTGTCGCCGGGTCTCAGGACACAGCCGTGTACGCGCCGCACGTGTTCGCTCGGTGGGAACTGGTCGCGTGCACAGAGAATCGGTTTCCTCCCCGCGTCTGAACGTGTGTGTGAGTGGTGTGCGGTCGTGTGAAGCCCTGTGAGCCCCGCGCCCACTTTCAGGACGAGGTCCGTTAAGGCCCGCGCAGCGCCTGGATCGCCCGCCCTTGGGCCAGAGTGCCATGGGGCCCTGGGGCAGAGGCTTTCCCCGGTGGTCAGGACTCCCGCCTGTCTGCCAACCCTCTGTTCCCGGTTGCCCCAGGAGGCGGCCAGGCTTTGTCCCTTCCTTTCCTCTGGCTCTGGACCTCGGGCCAGGTAGCCATCCCGGGATCCGGGAGGCTTCTGCTCTCAGACCGGGGATCCTGCAGCGTGCCAACAGGCCGGGACCCCACCGCGCCACCCGCTCGCCTTCTCCCGCTCCGCCTATCCTAGCCCCGCTGCCGGGCGGGCGGCGCCGGGTGAGGCCGGGAGGCGCAGTTCCTTATTTTACGAGGTGTCGGGCCGGTGTCAGACGCGGCTCGGATAAGTAATACTCCAGTCTGAGGGACCAGAACGTGGTAATTAATCCCAAAGACTTAAGTGTATTTTAGTTCAGGAGAAAAAAAATCACTAATTCAATCGTCCGGAAAATTGAAGTTTGATGCATGAGTCCCCCCTGAAAGGGACGGGCTGGGGCCTCGCGCCTCCCCTCCGCCCCTGCCCGTCGCCGCGGGGACCCCCTCCTCCCCACCCTTCTGAATCGCCCGGTCCAGGGAAGCCTGCCCGCTCCGACCTGCGCGGCCGCCGAACCAGGGGCACTTGGGCTTTGCTCCCCTCACTCAACAAGCAGCCCCTCTTCCTTGGGGCCCAGAACGCGACTTGTGCCTGGAATACAGGAGCCCCCAAACACACACATCTGGGAAGGTGCATAGGGGAGCTCCGGATGTGTAGGGGATGCTAGATAAGGGACCCGGCTGGGCAGTGTCAGGGACAGCTAGGCCTGTGGGGAGGGGACTGGAACTTGAGTGGCCTGGGGTCCTGAGGGGCAGGGTAGGAAGTGGAGGGGTCTTGGTGGCTGCGAGGTGAGTGTGAATGGGGCTGGCATTGTGGGTGTGCTGAGCGGTGGTGGTTAGACTATAGGTGTGGGGGACTGTGTGAGAATGGGCACATCCCTAGGATATGCCTGTGCAGGAAGAGAGGTCTCAACAGACGCTGGTAGGCCTGGGCCAGCCAGGAGCCTGACTCCCCCGTGTCTAGAGGTCATGCCTCCAGATGAAGTTTCCAACTGCTTGGTGAGGCTCCTGGGACTGCAGTAAAGGAGGTGGGAGTTCCTGGGCCTGGGGAGTGTGTGTGGGAGGGGCAATACCCTGGAGGGAGAATTC